GGGGGGGGGGGGGGGGGGGGGGGGGGGGGAAGGACATGTGCTTGTGAGGTCCCACTGCACCAAATGAATCAAACCGCGTGAGAAAACAACACGCATATCTCTGCTGGGGCGTGGAGATGGGCCGGAGGGCACACAGACGGCTCACAGCTACGATACAGCGAAGCCCCCCCCTCCTCCCCCCCGGTGTTTGCCATCGGGGTTGGGTTTCCGTCGCTTGGCAACGACGTTGTAAAACAAGCCACCCCCTCGGTGTTTGCCATCGCCATCGGGATTGGGTTTCGTCGCTTGGCAACGACGTTGTAAAACAAGCCAATACACTTCGTGAACTCGGCAACCAGGTTACCGGTTATTTTTTTGGCGGTAACCATAATGGTGGTCGAGTAGATCATGGTGTGCGGGGTGGATAACCCTCACTCCGTGCAAGGGGGATGATCGCACCACGTTGTGTTAAAATGGTCAAGCACCTTCGAGGCAGTTAAACAGTGCTTACAACTGTCTCTGGAAGTCAAAGCACCAGAAAATAAAGTCATACGCAGCTGTCATCCGTATGCAAGGAAGTAAGCATAAGGTGCCGAAAACCCTTAGCAGGATGCAGCGCACCCTTCATGCGACCCGCCGAATATCTCACGGCGCTTCGCGCTTGGTGATGTGAGAGCCTGGTCCGGTGAGAACCCGGCGCGCTCCGTCCCGGCTTTGTAGGGATGCGAAGTCAATGGTCTAACGACTACGGCATGCACGGCTATGAGTACACCCCTCTTCCCCAGGGCAAGACACAAAGTGAAACCAAAACAGCAGAATTATCGGAAGACTCAAGCAGCAGAATTTCCGAAAACCAAAACATCTAACAAACCAACATCGAGAGCGAAAACAAAAACGAACGCCATCATCCTGGATTGCTCACACAATGAACGAGGGTGGTATTTTCAACAGCACATACGTACACGCGCCAATTCTTCAACTTTCGAGGATTCAACTAATCGAGGTCAAGGCCGCTCCAACGAAACACAGCAGAAGGCGCGGGAGCGCGGGGCGACGAGGGAACACACAAGGACATATGCCCCTTACTGATTAAGCATGAGCCGTGCAGCTGTTTTCATGTACAGCAGGGACCATCGAGAATCAAAGGCCAGAGGTATAGGTACAACTAATGTGATACCAGGCCTCTTTCGAATGACTACGACAACAACACAGGCAGCAGCAACGGCAACAACAGCGGGTTCGCACCTTCTTGAAGCCGATGGTAGGAAACTTCCCGTTTGGTACTTGCACCTGGGTGTCCTCCAACCCTTGGTTGATGTAGTGCTGGCGAGACAAACAAACACACAAGAAAATGGCAGCAGCAGCAGCAGCAGCAGCAGCAGCAGCGAAAACGACGTGTGCGTTTCGATGAATGGGTGTTGCACGTACGTCACAAGACGCTGGTACGGGAGGGCGGTGCTGTGATGACAAAAAAATCAGGCATACAAGCATGCATGTGGCAGCAGCAGAGTCGCGTGAAAAAGTCAGACAAACATTCATCGCAGCAGCAAAAATCATGTGTCATGGTGACCCTCTGTGTTAGGAGACATAAGCCAGAGAGGGACCCTTCAGAACCGAGACAACGGACGCATCAGTGTACTTACCCATGCGCACCACACCAGGGCGCGTCGCAAAGCTCGGCTCTATCGGTCAGAGGAAACAAGGAGGGTACGAAACAAGACACCGATAGAGCCCATGACCAAAACCAAAATAACAGACGACAGTCGTGGGGGGATGCCAAGTCGAGACATTGGCGGCGAGGCCAGTTGAGGGCACCAGCCCTCACGGCAAGCTGGTCTTGTTGGTGACGAAACAGGCCGCAATAAAACAAAAAGGTCGAAACACTCCCCCGCCAGGTCAATCCAAGGAACTCGAGAGGACGTTCCTTCTTTTTCATTCTTACCGGGAATTTGTCGCTGAGAATTCTCCACAGGAGTGAGCATCCGTAGCCTTCCTCACCCGCCTGCCGGCAGAGCAATACAAGGGGGGCAAGGGACAGCGTGTTGATAGGTACTCGATCAAGCCGAAGCAGGTCAACGCGCAAAGGAGAAGGGGGAGAGATGGACACGCGCGGCTGGTAGGGCTAAGCAGGAAACAACAAAACAAATACTTCTGTTTCACCGCCCAGAACGGCGGCATTTGGGCGGCGGCGAGAGAGCTGACACTCAAACCTCAGCTGACAGCGAGAGACCGGGGAAATTTTCCACGCTGTCACTTAGCACGAAGCGATCTCGAACAAAAGTCAGTCATCATCCCTCGATAGCCCTTCAAAGTTCGAGGGAGGTCGTTGCTTTCACGCCACACCCAAGTGCCCCCCACGGGATCCAAGAACAAAACGACCTCTCCCAAACATTGCCACACACTCTTGTGGCCACGTCCTGCACCAACCAAAAATAAGAGATGGATTCGTTGTGTCATATTCTACAAAATAAATAAATACTTATATATACGTAAATAACTGCATTCGTCACCCTGTCCGTGCCCCCTCTCTCGCTGCCTCTGCCCCAAAAAACACAACAAATACTCGGCCCATGCCCCGACAAGCAACACCACCCTCGCCGCCTCTTCCAGGCGTCGTACCCCCTGCAGCCCCTTTCCCTACGCTCTCAACAAATTGCCTTCTCTCCAGTATCAGTGATCGATCGATCCATCTCCTTCCCCGCCAATCCAGTAACCAACAATTTCCTTACGCTCTCACGCCCACTCTTGCACACAGCCCCCCGGGAATGGACATCAAGCATAACGGTTTACGTACTCGTAACCAACAACAAGGACGACAAACAACTTAAAACCTCACCTCTTCTTTCCCGCCGGCGGCAGCGCTAGCGCTAGCGGTAGCCGCCGCCCCCGCCCCCTCTGCGCACCCGTTCCCCAAGAACCCGTTGCTGCCAGAGACAAGGTGGCTCTCTCCCTCTCTCTCTCTCCCCCGCTCCCCTCCCCCAACCAACCCGTCCACATCCATACCCACCTTCCCGGGCGTCGCTGACGGGTCGGTAGGAGAGGAAGGAGGCGCCGAGGGCAAGGGGTGCACCTGCTGCTGCTCCGACGGCGATTGCCTTTGTTCCTCCTGCTGCGCGGAGGGGGGTCGCTCTCGCTCCTTGTTGTTCTTCTTCCTCTTCCTCTCCTTCTCGCGCTCCTCGTCGATGTAGGTGGGCTTGAACTGGTCGATCACGGCCGACCTCCCTCGCCGGAGACCGGCGGACTCCAGAGCCTCCAGCCCCCTGTTACGTAGGCGAAACAGGGCGAAACGGGGGGGAGGGACGTACTCATGTTTTGCATACCTTAGTCATTAGACCATGTTTTCGCAGCCTTAGCTGTTTGACGACGTTCTTGCTTGCCCTAGTTGTTAGACCATGTTTTCGCACGCCCTAGTTGAAGAGGAGAGGGGGGGGGGTTTCATAGCCGTACATGCCGTAGTCGCTAGACCATTGACCTCGCATCCCTTCAAAGCCGGGACGGGGGGGCATAGTCGGAGGGGAGGGGGGGTTCGTGTGATCAGCATCAATCAGATCATACACACATGTAGCCGTGCCGAGACTGACGTCGGTTCATTGGTCAGCTGGGTCACCACGGTCGATGAGACTTAGAAAACAACACACACACATCAACCCCACGTGACCCCCCCCAAAACGCGGGGTGTAGCGCGTTCGATACACCACCAAGACAGGTAGGCCTGTCCTCCATCGGCCGTTTTATTTTCGATTTAGATACACAAACTTTATTTCTATACTAATTTCAAGTAATTCACCTCCTTATTCTCCGTCATACAAGCAAAACGGCCGATGGAGGACAGGCCTAAAGACAGGGCTAACCACCAACCCAGGTATCTCGCGTTTTTCCCTCCCTGTGAATATAAAACAACAATAGTCAGTGCTTGCACACGCACCGACGTCTGCCGTATCTCTGGATAATGTCCTCGATCTCGTCGGTCGCGCACGCGAAGGTGACCAACGGGTTGCCGTGCAGCGATGCCCACTGACCCTGGACATTGATACTGAAAAGAACCACCTGCAAAAAGAGAGGAGACCGGAGGGGGGGATTGGGGCGTACTCTTTATGTTTTGCATGCCTTAGCGGTTAGACCATTGACCACGCGTCCTCGAGAAGACGGAGCATTGATCCCACAGGACCGATCACCGATGGCCAATCGTTCCATTCTACTTTGCCAAAGGTGGATCAAAAATGTCGTCCCCAGTCGAACTATCCTAACGATATCTCTTCCCGCCTTTTCAAACCCCTTCATACTCCCCGCTGCAGCTACCATCCTCTCCTCTCTATTCCATGCCTCAAGCATCTCCCTGTACCTTCCTCTTCTACTTTTCCCAGCGCACTCATGTATACTCCCCTCTCCCCTTCGTACAACTGCCATTCCGCGACTACGTGAACACGGTCTTCGCATTCAAAGCCGCAATCACATTTGAACTTGTCTTCGTCGTCTACCGTCCTATGTCTTCGTCGACGTTCTCGAAGGTCTATGTCCCCGGTCCTGAGTTTGACCTTAAGCTTTGTCCCTGCATCCATTGGTCTATGTAGGTGATCCTTGAACCCTATTCCTTCCTTCAACATTCAGTACACTTCCAGACCCTCCTTATCCTCGGTTTCTTTCCTTAGATTCTGTTCTTCTCTCTCGGCACAAGCAACATATATCTTCTCCTTGAACCCCTGTAGACCTGCCGTTTCCAGCGTTCATCTTCGTCGATTTCGAACCCCTTCCATACGTCCTCTACAACCTTGACCCATTCCGTGGGTTGTCTACCCCTCTTTTTGTTTGCCGACTACGCCTCCCATACTATTCTCGGCAGCGTCTCCTCCCATCCCGCACATGCGATACTGCCATGTCAGCTTCCTCGCGTCTCTTCCCGACCGTAGGGATTGGATCCCCAATTCTGCCCTGACGGCTGCAATACTTGTGCGCTTGGAGCATCCTAGGATGATTTTCGCTGCTTTCATCTGCGCCGCCTCGAGTTCTTTCACTACCTTCTTATTTCCTTCCCATACTTCTCCGGCGTACTCTAGCGGCGGTACGATTACGCTCTTCAAAACCGTCAATTTGATGCGTGTATCGAGGTGCCGGTTTGCGAGTATTGGGTGCAGCTTCCCTGCTCGTGCTTTGCCCTTTTCCGCTACCTTGGACATGTGTGCATTCCACGAGCAGTCTTTTGCGATCTCTACTCCGAGGTATGTGTACTGGTCCACTAATACAATCTCCCCGATCCCCCACTTCCATCTATGTTCTACTGGTTCCTCCTTGTTCTCGTTGCATACCATGACGGCACTCTTCTTAACGTTGGCAGACAATCTCCACATATCAGTAAACTTCTTCGCCGCGTCAATTTGCAGTTGCAGTCCCTCAGGGGTGTCCGACATACCAACAAAATCATCCGCAAACAGCATTCCTGATACCGAAGTTTCCGTGTCCACTACTTTTACTCCCTTGCGGACTGCCTCTAGACTACCAACAGATCGTTGATGAACACCTAGAACAATGTTGGGGACAGTGTGCAACCTTGCGGGACCCCCTGTTCAATGTCGAAGAATTTAGACAGTCCTCCGTCTAGCATGACCGCGCGTTTCGTACACTCTGTCATCGTCTTCAGCACTCTCCACATTTTCCCCTTGATCCCGTATTTGGACAAGTGTTCCACAGCCCATTTCTCCACACTGTATCGTATGGCTTTATTCACGTCCAGGAAGAAGCAGTACGTGGGCATTCCCGCCCTCTTTCTACGTTGGATGACTAATGCTATGTTGCTTCTCCAATACTCCCACTATACTATCGTTCAGCAGCTTACAGGACACTTTTCGACTGGGGGGGGGGGGGGGGGNGAGTTCGAGAAAAATGTGATGAAACACGAAGAAGGGGGGGACAGAAAGAAACCTCGTAGGAATGTCGAGGGGGGCCGGGAAACGGTTTATCAACCCGAGGAGCGGGGATACAAGCAACCCCGGACACAGGGGAAAAAATGGATGCAGGAGGGAGCTGCGGAACATACCTTTAAGGCGAGCAGTCTGCGAACAAACGAGGGAGGATGCGAGCGTTAGACATCGCGTTCGCAAAAAATCCAAACACACCCAAGAATGTATCACAATGCAAAACAGGACGTCGCCCAAGAACACAACCCCGCCGCGCGCTACAAAAATAAATATCACCTGAATAGGCATCCATGGGGGTGGCGCCGGCTCTCCCTCCGGCGGAGGGATTTTTCCCCAGTCGCAGGTGGCCTTGACCTCCTGCAGTCACAACAACAGCAGGCAAAGACGGCCAAAGCCCAGCGACAACGAGTACAGACGAGCGGGCGGGATTATTTTTCTATCAGACACACACGCCAAATAACGCCAATGGGGAGAAAAAATCAGGACGTGGGACTCATGAACAAGACAGAAGGGGGTACACAACAAATGACAGCAAGGGCAAGCGGAGCAAAGCACGTACTAGTACATTCTGAAACAGTTTCGGTGTGGGCTGTTGTATGATGTCCAGCAAACCACGTTGTGCGAGGGGCGTGATGGAATGTGACAACAAAGAAAAAGGTTTACAACAACAAAAATCCGATTTACACTTTGGATATGCCTCAACAACGGCCAGCAGCAGTAACTGCTCTTGTTGGCAGCAACAACAACAACAACAACAAAAACAAAAACAACAACAACAGAAGCTCTTCAGTATTCCGACGCAACGGGTTTGGAGGAAAACGTAGACCTGAATACTTTACCTCTTCGTCGGCCATCTCCAGCAGGACGGACCCGACATTGGGCTCCTTGATAACGGGGCCGCACACGTAGTGGTTAGACCTGGCCACAAAGAACTGGCGAAGGAAAAACAGGTATCGCACGGTCGAGCAAGACGGATAATGATGATGATGATGATGATGATGATCAGGCACACGCCGTCAGAGGGCTAGTCGGGGAGGGAGGGAGGCACGAGGAAGAGGGACAACAGGAACAAGAAACAGGTTTGGCAAGGGGAGGAAAACACGAACGGGGGGTATACTCACACAAGTCACCAGACTAGTACACACCGCATTCCAAGTGCCACGGTCTCACACAAGAACGTGACCACGGAGCACCAAGAGCTACAAAATCGGGGAAAGACCAAAGACGCAATATTTTCTTCCTCCCACCTTAGACAACACATGAGCAACACCTTACCAGCATGCAGCGCATCCTTCATGCGACTCGCCGAATACCGCGCGGCGCTTCGCGCTTGGTGATGTGACAACCTGGTCGGGTGAAAACCCGGCGTGCTCCGTCCCGGCTTTGTAGGGATGCGAGGTCAGTGGTCGGACGACTACGGCATGCACGACTATGAGCAAACCCCCTTGGACAACACCCCACCCACCGATCCTCCAACCCCCCCCACCTACACACATCAGCGATAGTTCTCAAACAAACTCACCCTCCTCGCATCGTCGCCCTTCTCGATGATGGCGTTGATCTCGCCGGTGCCCATGCCCAGCAGCCTCAGGCGGTGCTCGCTCCCCGGGGGCAGCCCGAGCTTGTCGGACAGCTGCTTGAGGGTCTCCAGGATTGTTTGCGACCCCCTCGCCTTTACGAAGCAAACAAAATATACGAGAACATTTCCAGGGGAAAAGGGAAGTGAGGGGGGGGNGGGGGGGGGGGGGGGGGGGGGGGGGGGGGGGGGGGGGGGGGGGGGGGGGGATGAGTGCACGACAAAAATGTTCTCCCGCGTCCGAACATGACCCCCGGGGGGGACAGCCTCGCTAACAAACAAACGCTTTGTTGCTCTGGAGTGTTCCTCCCGGCTCCATCACTCCAACAAGAACACACTTCGTTGCACGCATCGCGACCCCCCTCTGACTTGACTTCCCCCCAACCAAACAATCATCCGTAAGCCACATACTTGAGAAAAAGAGAAGCCGAAAAGCTAGCACGAAAGCACGCACGCACGCACGCACGCACGCACGCACGTCGATCGTCTCACAAAGCAGTAGGCAATCTCTGGCATCGACTCCTCACCAAGACGTAGGTCGCGAGGAGGTCTTCCGGGCCGGGGGGGGTGAGAACCACGTCCTCGCACGTTGCTACGTCCATTCCAAGCCCGTCCCCGCCGCCGTCACCAGCCCCTGCCGACAGAGATGATGTCGACAACACGCCAGCTGCGGCGTTGGTCTCGAGGAGGCCGTGTCCGTTCGTCGTTGACGATAACGCCGCCGCAGCGGCGGCAGCGGCAGCGGCGGTGGTGCCCTCTCCCAGCTTCCTCTTCTTTCCTCCCTGGGAAAAGGGTAGCACAAGAGAAGGAGGGCGTTTTGTACGTGTACATGTATCCACCAGTGGGACCATTCCCGGCGAAAAGAATAGTGTCGTGACAAAGAACAGCAGCGAGGGATGGGGTTCCGTATCTGTCATCTGTAGGCAAGAACCCAAGCACTCGAGCGCTCGAGCACTCGAGTCCTGTTGTCGTCTCTCTCTCTCTCTCTCTCTCTCTCTCTCTCTCTCTCTCTCTCTCTCTCTCTC